CCCCCCGCCACGTCACGGCCACCTGTGACCAAGGCCACCGCCCCGCCGAGGCGCCCCGCCGAGCTCATGGCGGCACCGGAAGTGACCAGCGAGGGCCGGTGAGGAGGGCACCACGCGCTGCCGCTCTACACCCGCTCTATGGTAAAATTCCTCCAAGCATCCTCTTTTTTTGGTATTTTTCTCCCAACCTTTTCCCTGGATTTGGGTGCCACCCAGATTCCTGGGTGTCCCCACCCCCGTGGGCCCTGCACACCCCTCAGGACCCCTTTGGCTCATCTCAGCGTTTAGTCTTTTAATTAATCAAAGCCACAATCTGCTACAGTCGTTAAAAAAACCCACAAATCATCACCCCAAAATCCACCCGGTAACAGGGACCCGGACACCTGGGTGTCCCCCCATGTCACCCCCCCTTGGTCCCCACCGCCGAAGTTGTGTCCCCCCACCCAAATCAGAGAGCCACAGGACCCCCCCCACTTTGGTCCAGAGAGCTGGGGGGGTCAACACAGCTCCCCCTCTCCCCAGAGGAACAAGCCCCCAAAATGGGGCACACATGGGGCTGGAAACCCCCCCCCCCCCAAAAAAAAACCCCCAAACCCATCCTCGAGGGTTCCCTACTCATAGTGGGCGATGGCTACCATCATGGCAACTCCGGCCAGTAGCCCCAGGACCTGGAGGAGGGACTGGAAGGGCCCGGCGTCCCGCAGCAGTTCGGGGATGACGGAGACGGTGCCCACGTAGATGAAGCCACCGGCGGTGAAGGGCAGGACCCCCAACATGGCCGCCTCGCCCGCTCGCTCGGCCAGCAACGAGCAGGCTGCCCCGGCCACCGCTCCCAGCGCCGTCACCAGCTGCAGACGCATGGCCTGGGGACGAGGACACCGGATGGTGGCACCTCCTCCAGGGCAGAGTCGGGTAGAGACGGGGGTTCCTAAGGACACTGGGAGAGCTGGGGGGACTGGGGACACTGCTGGGCAGAGATGGTGCTCCCTGGACACTGGGGACACTGGGGGTACTGGGGGAACTGGGACACTGCTGGGCAGACATGGGGCTCCCTAAGGAGACCGTGGGGACTGGGGGAACTGGGACACTGCTGGGCGGACATGGGGCTCCCTAAGGACACTGGGGGGACTGGGGACACTGGGGACACTGCTGGGCAGACATGGGGCTCCCTAAGGACACTGGGGGCACTGGGACACTGCTGGGCAGAGACAGGGCTCCCTGGACACTGGGGACACAGGGGGTACTGGGGACACCAGAGGTACTGGGAGGACTGGACCACTGGGGCCACTGGTAGCACTGGAGGTACTGTGGTCACTGCAGCCACCGTGAACACTTTGGGGCACCGCTGGCACCAGGGGCACCGCGGTTACTGGTGCTACTGGGGACACCGTGGTCACTGGGGGTCCTGGGGCCACTGGGGAGTACTGGGAACCCCGGTGACGCCGCTGCCACCGCGTCCCCTTCCTCACCTTGCGCTTGCTGCAGCCTGACTGGACGAGGATGGCGAAGTCGCCCACCTCGTGGGGCAGCTCGTGCAGCAGGACCGTCACCGCCGTCACCATCCCCAACCCCGTCCCCGCCAGGAAGGAGGCGCCGATGGCCAGCCCGTCGGTGAAGTTGTGTGCCACGTCGGCCGCCAAGTTCAGGTACCCCGACCCCTCCATGGCTGCGGGGACAGTGGAGGGGGGGGGTGACAATGGGGACATCGGCACCCTGTGACAGTCCCTGCCACCCCCCACAATGTCCCCCATCCCCCCGGTGTCCCAGGGTCCCTTCCAGTCCTTGTCCCCATGGGGTCCCTCTACCCCATCAGGGTCTCAGTTGCCCCCCCCC